AGCCACTCTGTCCCCAGCCTGGAGTGGAACTCTGGAAATGTTCATTCCCACAAGAACACAGTGAACAGCAAGAACACAAAAATCACACCTCTGTGGTACTGTTAGCTATGAATTTATTGCTATGTATATATTTAAGATAATTGAAAGGGGAGCTCATCCTTCTAGGCCAAGTACCAAAACCTCTGCTGAACACCTGTCAGCTTACAGCCTCCTGTCCTCCATTCTCTGCCCAAAATGTGTCCCATTTAGCTGCTTATTAGTTGGAAGTGGCTCTGGCAGATGCATTTCATCCTTTGCTTCAGACCCATCTACCACAACAGGTGCAGACTTCAGGGCCAGGAATCTTGGTTATCTTTAGCCTGTAACTGAACCTTCCCTAGAACTGGAATTCTCGGGATCTGTACTCAGTGTTTAGCAAAGAGAATAGTTTTCTCATGGGTTTGAGGAAGAAATAGAATCATTTAGGTTGGAAGAGATCCCAAAGCTCATCCAGCTGAACCCCCTGCCACGGGCAGGGACACCTTCCACTAGCCCAGGTTGCTCCAAGCCCTGTCCAACCTGGCCTGGAACACTTCCAGAGATGGAGCAGCCACAACTTCTCTGGGCAACCTAATCCAGGTTGTCACTATCCATCAAACAGAAACATAAACCCAGCACCAATCTCCACTACTTTTCTTTAATGTTTCTATATGGAGATTTCTATGATAAAAGCAGCAAAATTATTACACGAATCACCTGAAAGTACAATGTTAAGGAAGGGCAGGAAGTTTCCTAAATGATTTAAACCAAGATCTGGGTCTTTTTTTTTTTTTTTTAATATATCCCATTTTCAGAGAAGAAAGACACAGGACAGAATGAGTTTTGTGATGGGAAATAACATACACACATATAATAGAAACACATATAGTTTATCTAATGGAAACTGGAGATAAGGCAGGAAAGGGAGACAACTCTCCTCTTCTTCCCAGCTTCCATTTCATGTCTATCCTTACATAAAAAGGTATCAAAGGATAGAGTTTAGATGCAAAGGTTTCATTCTGAAATAAGGACTGTAACAGTCAGTCCCACCTCCCCCTCCCACTCCTCCTTAGTCATTTTTAGTACACACTTTGAAGCTTAAAAATTGCCCTATTACATAAAGAATGTAAGAAAAGCAGCTTTCATTAGCATTCAAGGTGCAAGTGATTAAGTGAAATGTGAATTAAAGTCAGCCACTCTGCAGACTTCACTGCAGTGACCCCAATCACTCAGCACAGAGCAGCTGCAGGACTCATCCCTCATGGTGTAATTTCCCAATCAGCTGGAATGACCAGACCATCCATCTCCCCTGCCAATCTGGTTTTAACAGCCTTTTTTTTTTTTTTTCAAGTGCTCTTCAAAAAATGTGTTTTATTGCATTGAGTTGCAAGTGGATCAATTCCCTGACCCTGCTCCTCACTGGGCTGAGAGAACATTAAGGCTAGCACAGGCAAAGGGGAGAGAACTAGAGACCCAGGGAAGCAAAAGATGGGGTGATACCTTTGAAGGGACAAGTTCCTCTGAATTTTGGAACTGCACCGTTAGGATGTTGCTTTTTAAACTTGCACTAGCAGTGTTGGTCTTCTACAAGATGACACCTTCTAGTCTAACTTCAGCCTGACCACCAGATCTCAGCCTCAGTGCAGTATAGACTCTGTGCACTGGTGGCCAAGGAACCCACCAATTCCCTGAATTCAGGTGTGTCCCTCAGCAGGTACATCCTGGCAGTCAAAGGCACTATGCAGTAGCATCAAAGCCAACGTTTCCCCAGCTGGATATTCTATTTTGGGACCAATCAGAGCATGCAATGAATCATCTTCTACTTGGAGAGCAAATGCCTGACCAAGATGCTCATGGTGCTGACCTGATCCAGGACTCCAAACTGATTTACAGATGCTTTGTTTTCTCTCACCTGCACTTGAAGTCACAGGATCCTGCAGCCAGCAGCACATTGTTGGGGTGCCAGTCCAGGCTAAGGACAGTGGAGCGAATGGGCTTCTTAATGTGTTTGCTCACCCACCTGAATTCAAAACCAAACAAGAAAGAAGTAAGATTTGTATGAACACATTTTACCTGTCTCCTCCAAATCCATGAAGTACTCCTCAAAAACTTCACCTAAACACATCAGTTTTGAAAAACTCACATCGTGCCCAAATCTTCCACATTCCTTTGTGCAATCTGTGAAATTTATGTGGTTATCTTCATGAAAACCTGAAACACTATGAGCAAACTTGTTACATATATATCTCCTCACCTGCTCCCCTTCTGACTGATTTTTATAAGGATGGAAGTCCTTAATATGAGTTTTGCACATTAATTAGCTGCTCCCACCCAGTGAACATGAGGCCAGCTGTGATGTGACACTGAACTGAGCAGAAATATTTTCATGGATCACCAAGTACAAGTCCTCTCCAGCTCCTTCCCATGAGTTCAACACTCAAATCTCTTTCCTAGTGACTCTTCTACTGTTTAGTAATACAGTAACTATATAACACAAGTCAATGGGGGAACTGCCAGTGATATAACCAGCGCATTCACCTCAATTACATGCAGTGCAGTGCAACGTGGTCCTGATGCAGAATGCATCAGTGTTAGCCTAAATACGTCTCAGCAGAGTCAGTTTGTTTGAACTGTTTACCAAATGTAATGAAATCTGTTATTCACTTGATGGCCTTGGGGATGATGGTGCTTCTTCTTTGATTTTACTCCCATCAGCCACAAGTTCTAAGGATCACACTGAATTATTTGTCACCAGCATATGGGGGTTTGATTCTTCTGCAGACAAGTGAGGCAGAGAAGATATTGATAACTAAATATGCTGGAACGCATCAAAGTCCAACACGATCTTTAAAATGCACTTTGCAGAAGTTGTCATTGTTTGCTATCTCCACATGGCACAGTGCACACAGACATCTGTGGTTCTGTGCCTCTTTATGCAACCCACAACAAATAATCCACACACTGATTTCACCTACAGGTGATACATCAAATGTAGCTCCAACATGTGCAGCTACAAAGGGAGGAGATCGGAAGCACAAAGTTTAGATGGCAAAGAAAAAAAAATGTTAATGGTGGAAATATTTGTGATAGTCCTGTGTGAAATCTATAGACTGTGATAAAAGTCCATGCCAGAATGCAGAACAGGTCAATGACAAGCTCAAACATCTTCTAACAGACCACCCTGGAGAGAAGTGACAGACTCACACTCTTTAATGACAAGAGAGGCTCAAAATAATATAGCCAGAAGAAAGACCTAAGTGAAGGTTTCTTCATTCACTCTGGAGGGAGGCGTGAGGAGGAAACATTTCTCTTTTTTCAGCCATACAGTTGTGGTAATGAAATTTTTACTCTGCAGAAATTCTTGCATTTTTAGAAAAGCAACATATGTTTCTGGCAGTCAGGCAGAACACACCCACACCAGCATGGATAGCCTGAAAAGATGTGAAGTCAAAGGCTTTGAGGTGCCAAACCAGAGTAAAGAGAGGAAACCTTTCCCCCAAAATGTGAAGAGTCCATGAAAGAAGTGATGAGGCCATTGGTCTACACTTCCTGAAGATTTTAGGAATTGCTGAAATAGTAATCTAATTACCACTGTTAAACTCCAGGCTTCAGCTCTCCCACGCAGCAAATACAGGTACAAAGAGAAATCAAACACTCACCAGTCATTTTCAGATTCGAAGTAGCAGACAGATATGAGTCGAGCTCCACTTCCCACAGCAAATTTGTTCTCCAGGGGAGACCATTTCACAAAGGTGGCAGCACGGTTGATTCTCAGGATCACAAGGGTTGGTTTCCACACTCCATCCTTCTGGCTCCACACGTAGGCGTTCCGGTCTGCGCCGCACGTCACGATGCGATCGCTTTTGGGAGCCCAGTCAATCCCTGCAAGTCAGAGTTCACAGTAAGCAACTTTTCCCTGTTTGTTTTACAGCAAGGCAAACCAGACTATCTCACAGCCTTCTATCTGAAAATCATGGAATTATTTGGATTGCAAGGGACCTTAAAGAACATCCAGTTCCAATCCCCTGCCATGGGCAGGGACACCTTACCCTAGCCCAGGTTGCTCCAAGCCCCATCCAACCTGGCCTGGAACACTTCCAGGGATGGAGCAGCCACAGCTTCTCTGGGCAACCTGTGCCAGAGCCTCAGCACCCTCACAGGGAAGAATTTCCTCTACATATCTAACCTAAATTTGCCCTCTATCACTCTGAACCCATTACTCTTTGTCCTATCACTACAGTTCCTGATGATCACTGAGACAGTTATTACTTCTATGTTATTCCCCTTCTTCACTTATTCCTCAAGAGTTATTTTAACCTGTTAGGGATATCTGTTTCTCCCTCTCACTTCCGTCACAACTGGAGATCCTAAATTCCCAGATCCCAGGGATCTGCCGGCAGAGGAATCCTGCTGGCCAACAGGTGGAGCTCTGCAGACTGGCCAAGGCCTGTTGCCAGCGCCCTCCAAACCTCTCACTTCTGCAAGACCTGCCTCAACAGCTGAAACCCAACCGTTCTAAAACCTCTACCAAAGTTGTCTGCTCGCTGACAGACAGCAGTCATGGTCTAAAGTTTAGATAACAGAGGGTTTTTTGGTTATATGTTATCAGCCTTTAGGTACTGACACAATCCTCACATTTTTTCCATGCCTATTTAAGCTGTGCCACAAGAGGGGAAAAAAAAAAAAGCATTTTGCTTTACCAAGCAGAAATAAATGCAAAGAGTAAAACAAGGCCTTTGCTCAGGCTGCCACTGCTGCTTTCCCCTCCTAGGCAATGATGGATGTTCTCAACTGGAAAGTCTTACAGCAACATTATTTTTCATCTTTTCTTTAGCATCCTCCTTAGCGATGGAAGGTGCAAACCTCAACTCTCCTGCCACAAATTATGACAGTGGTTTTCCATAGTTACATTCCACATTAAAAACATCTTTTAAGTTCACAAACTGAAAGTGGGATAAAAGCTGTGGAAAGAACTTGTCCTAATTTCACCATATTATTCATATATTGTCTACTTCAAAACAAGTTTATGTCTAAAAAGTTCAGTTTTGAAGAGGTTGGCTGTCTGGAACCTCAGTGACAGGAATCCCAGCACTGCTTTGGAAAGAGGCACCATCCTGCCTCTCTTTACTCCTCTTGCTCACCACCTCCTCTGCACCAGCACCTCTGGTGTTCTGACCCACACAAAGTGCAGCTTTTAGCTTAGCAGCAAATTAAGCAAATAGAGTGAGTAACTCACTTCCTGGAAGTGAGCAGAGCAGCTCACCACAAACCTGAGTCAAGACAAAGGACCTTGTCCCTTGTGATCAGGAGCTGCAGTGGCAGCAGCTGACTCACTCCTGTCAGAGGTTACAAGCAGTTTGATCAGTCAATCTCCTGTGTGCAACCACAGCTTAACTCTACGCTTTACAACCACCACAGCACTTAGCATTCCAAAGGTATACACTATGCAGGGAGAGCTCTTTTCCCAAGTCATGAATATTTGGCTTCTAACATTAACAGGTACAAGGCAGAGAAATGTCCCTGGGGAACACCATGTTGTCTGCACATTCAGCCCAAGTGACTTCACAAAGGAGCTTTTTTCAGGAATGGCATAAATTGAATAAAGTTCCTGCAAAACATTGTGGGGCAGATACTTCTGCCCATTAGAGAGCTGAGAACAGAATAAAGGATATTGCTGCTTGTGTTAATCATTTGCATTTTCATAGAGAATAAAGCCCTCACAAAAATATCACTGTGTAAAAAAAACAATAATATAAAAGATTACCACAGGACAATTACATGTTTATAATAAAACCTTGGGACTCATCATGGCAGTTTTGGATTTTCATTGTGGATTTACAGACACTTTGGGCCTGTAACAAATGTGCTCACTAAAGCCTAAGTCCAGGACTGACCACTGCAAATGTTGGTACAGTCCCTAAAAAAACAAAGGGTATTTATTGCTGCTGGAAGCCACAAACCAAGGCAATAGTCATAGACTTGATGGAATTTTAGTACTAGCACTTGAAAGGGAGCAGCATGTATCACTGTGACACAACCAGATACTTCAGGAGACTGGAAATGTTCTCATTATGTCATTCCAGATGAAAAAGAAGCAATAGATAAGAAAGAAAGGCTCAGTGACTCCACTGAAATGTCTGGAAATGAGATAGGGCTTTGCTTCCTAACATTCACTGCATGCAGTCCAGAAAGATGCTGCACAGCTCTCCCTAAGTGGGAATGCCAACCTATAAAAAGATCTATTTACTCAACACTTGCAGATTTCCCATTCAGATTCTCCACTGGGGAAAACAGGAGGGCAGGAAAACTCCATGTCTGGCTCAGCACAGCCTTCTCTTACCTGTGATGTGTCCATTGTGTTCCTTCAGCTCATGAGCCTTTACCCACTGGTTCCCACTCTTCTTGTAGATGTGGACTTCATGATTGTTAGGGCTAATGGCAATCTCTGGAAGCAGAAAGAGAACAATCCAACGGCACAGAAAGCTTTTTAATACCACGTTTTATTTAAAAAGCTTTCCTATCTAAAACCTGAATTCTCAAGTTTCAGAGCACTAAATGGGGTTTGTAAACAAAGGGTCAATATCCCTGGATAACCCCAAATAATTACGGACATAGAATGGTTTGGGTTGGAAGGGACCTTAAAGAACATCCAGTTCCACCCTCCATGGGCAGGGACACCTCCCAGTAGCCCAGGTTGCTCCAAGCCCCATCCAACCTGGCCTGGAACACTTCCAGGGATGGGGCAGCCACAGCTTCTCTGGGCAACCTGTGCCAGTGCCTCAGCACCCTCACAGGGGAGATTTTCTTCCTAATATCTAACCTAAACCTACTCTCTGCCAGTTTCAAAGACATACATGATACACACACCATGGTCATCAGGATTCTGCAAAGAAACACATTTGGAACACAATGATCCACATTATAATAGAAAACTGGTCCAAGAGGAAAAGCTTTCTGGAACACCAGGAAAACTGAATTTGCTCCTATGCCAGAGTCCCAGCAATGGGTTTAGAAAAGCTCAGATTTGGAGGATGTGTGGAATATCTACATGTAACACTCTGCACCTGACCACACCTTCCCTAAACATGTTCCAGAACATTACCAGACGACAAACTGGCAGCAAAGAGAAAACAGCAATTGAAAACAACAGATTACACATGAAAATGAAGCTGCTACTCACGAGTACGATCTCTGTTCCAGGCATGGCAGGTGATTGGCTCCAGTAGGAACTGATGTAGAGACATTCCGAGTTAATTCCTGGATTGGAAAAAGTGACAAAGCTGAAAGTTGTAAAATTGAAACCAAAACACTTCAAAATGAGAGAATTACTAAAACAAAGTTAACCCTCAAGGTTCCTTCAGTGCAGTATTGCAATTTACTTAGAGGAAATCACAACTTACTCAGCAAATCTGTTCAGGCTGCTCAAGAGCTGAGCTTACCACACACTCAGGTATTTTCAGTAGGAGGATGAATTTTAATTGTCCTGGTGACTTTAGCTAATTGCACTTGCCCTAAAAGCTGTAGACACTTTGCTTCTCAGTGGATCCTGACAGAGAGCAGAGCAGGTTCTCGGGACACACAGCTCAGTGTGTTGGTTCTGAATCTTGACACATATCCAGGCTCACAGACATCTTCTCTCAGGAGGCTCAACTGGTGTGTCCAGAACATTGATGTGTAACTCTGATCTACTGTGATGTATTATCTGATTAAGCAATTTATATGCATCCTAGGGAAAAATTATTAAGATTTGTAACAAACTAATTAGTAATTTCTTCAAATTAATTCCAGCACTCAAGTGTTTGATAGTCAGGCTTTGGCCCCCAGGAGACTCAAACAAGCTGAATCATTGTAGTTTGGGAGTATTTTGTTTGAAAAAAGCTAAATAACTAGGTTTTTGTTTAACTTACAGCTGTTGCAAGAGTCAGTGCTGAACATCTGCAATTGGAGGCACATCCAGCCCTGAATATAGAGTTGTTTAAAATATCTGTAATATTAAATACAACATTTTAATATTTAAATATCCTAGTCTATGTCCTGCATTAACCAAGAGCAGCATAAAGAAAACATCATAAAAACTCAAGGTCACCTGGAATAACTAAAATGAGCACAGTTCAATAAATCCAGCTTGGATCTGTCAACTCCTTCCATACCACAGAACACAGAGTTGGGAGGGACCTGTGAGGATCATCTAATCTAGTCCAACTCCATTAATAATCACTAATTTCACTAACATCCACTAATCTTCCATTAATTTCCACAGCAATTTATCACTGACTGATGGATCCAAGTGGTTTTACCTCCACATACACACCTAAAGAGAACTATCCTCGTGATGTCATTCCAAGACATCCACACCCATTATAGCCTGAAATTACAACATAGCCAAGTATGGCCATGTTAGCAGAGGGTGGAGACTCCAGGACAAGGTAGGAATTTGGAAGCAAACAGGAAATGAATGGCAAGCCCAACAGAAACTCAGGAGCTGAAGAAGGGTGAGTACATTCCTCTGGAGCTTTAGCAATTCCTATCACACCAGTTTAAGAAATATGCTGGAAGTGCTGAATCTTGGGGCAGGTGATAAATTATTTCACCAATGCAAATAATTGGAGAGACTTTTATTTTATTTTTTAGGAAACCAAGCACTGTTATTTTAAAGATGAAACCTGTACTTCAAACACAATGTTTAGTCACATGAGCTCTAAGTCCAGTTCACAATTTTATGATTTTCATGGTTCTTCTAATAATCAAATTGTACCAATTAAATGAAGGTATTAAATATACAGTCCTAAGCAAAATAATTCATTATCTTTGGTTAATATGAAAATGTTGACACAATCTGAGTTAACCTCTGACCTTGCCCATCCATCACTGGAGATTCCACGTGTGAATATAAGCAAAACACAACTGCAAAGTGCTTTTTCCAGGATCTTGCCTTAGCTCCTGCCAACATGCAGTAGCAGCACATTTCCATATACAGGAAAAGTTCAAGAGCTGTTGCACCAACAAGGAATGCTCAGCCTTTGCTACTCTTTCTGAAATAAAGTGTAAAAATATCCAACCTCTCTTCCCCAAGGAATGAAGCTATTTTGAAACACTTTCTAACACACCCCTGGTATTTTTGTCACTACATTAACTATGGTCCCATTCTAACCCCTAGTTCAGGTATTTGTGTTTAGCTGTTCCCAAAGCTGTATGATCCATTCCTTCCCATTGACTGAGGTCCTTGAGCACTAGAACTTGCTACAAGTGACTCTTTTCCATTTTGGTTTGGTAACAGATTCCTAAAAACCAACCGTGATGATAACCTCAAAAAGCACAGCTGTTCCTGTCACCTGATAGTGCTATTTTCTTCATGAAGATAAATCTTAATGAAGTTTTCAGGTTATATTTATTCCTTACCAATACACAGACAAAATCAAACTCATACTTCAACAGGGAAAATGCAACTGGCTCTGTGATTCTTGATAAATGAATGACCTCAATGCCTTCCTGTCAGCCAACCTCAGAACCTCACACAGGGGCAGATAATGTCACTAATTTGTTAACCAAGTACTTTATACAGCTCTCCCTGAGCTTTACTCCAAAGGCAAAGTAACTGGCCTTGAGTTTCGATAAAAGTCGTTAAAATTAAGAAAAAAAGGGAATCTTGCACCTTTGTACATCAGGAATTCTTTCAGTACACGGACTGAAAGGATCAAGGCTGGGAAGTGCAGGGCTCAGCTGCTGTCATCTCTCAGTGGGGTGAGAAATACATGGTGTAAGCACATCCCTGGACAAGCAACCAGCAAGGATGTGGACTTGGAAGTGGAGTTAGAACATGTTTGTGTGACACAGAGAAAGGGATCTCTTTAATCCCTGCCTATTCTCAGAGCACCTACATCCCTTCCAAATACCTGGAAAAGCAGCACCTATGATTAAGAACAGCCTCTCAACATTGTCATTCCCATCGAAGTTACCCAGCATAATTTTCCCAAGGGGGTGACTTGCTGGATCAATCAGATTGGAAAAGGCCTCTGAGACCATCAAGTCCAACCTATGACCTAACACCACCATGTCAACCAGACCTGTCACCATGTCACTGCCATGTCCAGTTATTCCTGAAACACCTCCAGGGATGGTGACTCCACCACCTCCCTGGGCAGCACATTCCAGTGTCTCATCACCCTTTCTGGGAAGAAATTCTTCCTAACGTTCAACCTAAGTCTCCACCAGTGCAGCTTGAGGCTATGTCCTCTTGTCCTGTCACTAGCTGCCTGGGACAAGAGACTGACCCCACCTGGCTACAACCTCCTGTCAGTGAGTTGCAGAGGGTGATAAGGTCATCCCTGAGCCTCCTCTTCTGCAGGCTGAGCCCCCCAGCTGCTCCTGACCAGAACTGTGTCCCAGTCCCTTCACCAGCTTCCACAATCCTTCACCAGACTCCTCATAGGCACCTCCTGACACAGGACACCACCAGCAGGATAAAACCATGGATGGGGATGGACCTGAAGTCATGGATGGGGAAGGACCTGAAGCCATGGATGGGGAAGGATCTGAAGCCATTGATGGGAATGGATGTAAAGTCATGGATGGGGATGGCTCTAAAGCCATGGATGGAGATGGCTCTAAAGTCAATGATGGGGAAGAATCTGAAGCCATGGATAGAGAAGGATCTAAAGCCATTGATGGGAATGGATATAAAGCCATTGATGGGGAAGGATGTAAAGCCATGGATGGGGATGGCTCTTGAACTGTGACCCTGCCATCACCGCACAGGGGCACT